CCACCTGCACGTAACCCAGCCACACGGCGCAGACACACACACACCACCTACACGTGACCCAGCCACACGGCGCAGACAGTACCCTCAGCACTCTGCCAACCTGAGTGTCTTCTCCCCGATGGCAGGCCACCCAGGCAGAGCTGAGGGAGAAGCTGAGAAGCGCCAGCAACCGCCTCGCAGAGTGCCAGGCCTCAGGGCTGCGGAAGGACGAGGAGGGGGCCGCCCTGCGTGAGAACCTGGAGAGGTCAGTCACGCCGCCCACCCCACCGCCGCTGCGCAGGCTGCAGGGAAGGGGGCGCCTGGCCGATAGTCACCCTGGGTAGACCACACACAGAATGCACTTGAGCCCCACGAATGCCCTGGGAAGCCTGTCTGTCTGCACCAGGCAGCTGCCCCAGTACCTAGAGTGAGCTCCCCTCTCTGCCGGCTGCACGCTGATCTCTCAGCCACAAACACCGGGCTGTAGAACAGTGACGAGGAAAGGGAAGCTGGGCTTTAATAATAGTGATGGTGAGAACCAAACAAGCCAAACCCACTGTCGCCGCGGCGATGCCACCCCCAGTGACCCCATAGGATAGAGTAGAACGCCGCCAAGGCTGTGATCTCTACAGAAGCGGCTGCCACACCTTCCTTGTGCAGAGCAGCGGTGAGTTGGGGCTGCCAACCTGGTGGAGCGCTTGAACCTCTGCAGCACACGGGCACCCTAGCAGTGAAAACAAAACCCCAGACCTAACCCCGTGCCACTGCCGGTTCCAGCTCAGAGCGACCTGGCGCAAGCTTGTGCTCAATTTTACGGGAGCAGATAGCTTTGTAGCCACCCTTAGAGTTGGCAGCCCAGGGCCTAGCTCCCTGGGCCACCAGGGCTCCTTGGTGCCAGCAGCCCTTTCAGTAATGCATACCATGTGCCAGGTACTGTTTCCAGTACTTTGCACCTGTATGTGAGCGCTTAATCGTCCTGGCAGTTTTCAGGTAGATGTTATTAACCCCGTTTTCTAGATGAGGCTCGGAGGAGGCTCGGGCGGCACACAAACACAGCAAGTATGTGAGGGGGTACAATAGGGTTAGAACGCCTGGTCTCAGTGTCTCTCTTCAACAGCGATCTTAGAGTGAGCTCTAGGTTCCCATGGGGTGCTCCTAGCAGACTGGTCAACCTGACCTCCCAGAGCCCCCCCTGTCCTTGGGGAGCTGGGGAGGCTGGGGCATTAGGTGCAGGAGGGGAGTCTGGAGGACCAGGCGGTGCATACCTCTGGGGCACTGGAGGCCTGGGTCAGCCCCGAGGGGAGCCATGGTGAATGAGCAGGAGCCGTGCCCTTCTGCACCAGGACGCAGCAGGATCTGGAGAAGGCCACGACAAAATTCCAGGAGTATTACAGCCGGCTGTGTGAGGAGGTGGCCACGCGGGAGCAGAATGACCAGAAGATGCTCGCTGACTTGGACGACCTGAACAAAACCAAGCAGTACCTGGAGGAGCGGCTGATTGAGCTGCTCAGGTGGCTGAGGGGTCGTGGGTAGCCGGGGCTTCCCACCTCTGGGGTTTTTCTTTGGTGCGCACATGGCCTTTAAAAGCTGGATGGTCCCAGAGACACAGGTGCTGTGCCCCTTGCCCTGTGCTGCACCAGCTCAGTCTAAGGGCCCACATCCTTGGTGGGTGCGTAACTATGGGGCACATGGTGCCCAGAGCCACCTCCCACTGGGAAGGACAGCGGTGCTAGGAAGCCTCTGCATGACACGCCTAGTCCCCCAGGCAGATACAGGTGCCATTGCCCCTCTCTCGGAAGCCTCATGCCTCTGTCCCTGCCTGGGGTTGCTCCCCAAGGATTAGTTGTAACTGGATTAGTTATAATCACTGGAATCTAAAGGTGGTCCGATGGATGCGGGGGGACGGACAGGGATACAGTGTGCCTGCAGCCCACAGCCTTCATGACAGCACCTTAAGCTGTCACTCAGCGGACAGAGCCCTCTCTGGTCTGCTTCCATGGGCCCCGCAGGGGCGCATCAGCACGTGTGGTGGCGCAGCCCCCAGACTGGGCTGGGTGGAGGGACGGGGTCTGGGGTGTCTAGAGTGGGAGAGCTTGCCTTCGCAGGGCCGAGAGGTATGGCATCAGTCCTTTGCAGTGAGTCACGGGCTGTTCTGCTCTTCTCACGGTTCCTCCCCCTGTTGTCCCACCGTGGTCGCCCCAGGGACAAAGATGCTCTCTGGCAGAAGTCCGATGCCCTGGAATTCCAACAGAAGCTCAGCGCCGAGGAGCGGTGGCTCGGCGACACCGAGGCCAGCCACTGCCTGGACTGCAAGCGGGAGTTCAGCTGGATGGTGCGGCGGCACCACTGCAGGTCAGCGGGCAGCACCCGGGGTTCCTGACACCCTGCCGGCCCCCTTCAGGGGAAGGGCTGGTGTGGGCTCCTGCTGGTCAGAGGCCTGGCAGGACACACAGGGCTCGGCAAGGGTGCACTGGAGAGTTTAATCAGAAGGTTCAGGCAGGGCTGAGGAGGATAACCCCCCACCCCAGCTCCAAGAGCTGGGAAAGCACACAGGCCAGCAACCCATGGGCCTTCTTCGCTCAGCGGGAAGGTTCCAGCGGAGACATGCTTCATTGGCACACCCTGGCAGGGCGCAGGCCTTGCTAGGCCCCGGGAAGGGAGGCAAAGTGAAGCTTGGGTTGAGGCTGGGGGCAGGTGTCTGGCCCTGCTAGTGAGGGTTGTGATCTCCTTCCTCTGTGGCGCTTGGTGCCAACAGCGTAGAGGGCACGCCTGCATTTGTGTGTTGGGGAAGGTGGGCTCAGCCACACACTGCTGCTTCCTGCCTCCAAGGATGTTAGCAGATAAAATGGTCTCCTAGTTTCAGCAGCATGAGAGCGCCTTACTTCTGCGCTTGACAGGGGAGCAGAGGCAGGCCCGACGAGGGCCCTGTAGCATCCACACCCCAGCACCCAGCTCCACTCTGATCGAAGCCCACTTGAGCCTTACAGCCCCCCTGTGTTGCATCCTCCCCAGGGTATGTGGCCGCATCTTCTGTTACTACTGCTGCAACAACTACGTCCTGTGCAAGCACAGCGGCAAGAAGGAGCGCTGCTGCCGGGCCTGCTTCCGGAAGCTCAACGAGGGGCCTGGCTCTCCTGACAGCAGCAGCTCGGGCAACAGCCAGGAAGAGCCCAGCCCCACGCTGCCGACTGCCGAGCCTGGGCACCAGGTCACCAGAGGCCAAGGTCAGGCTCCTGCAGCTGCCCGTAGTGTACGCCCCAGCTCCCTGTGGGTGGTTAGCTTCAGTCACTGTTTCCCAAATTGGGGCACGATATCGGATACAAATCTGTTGTCCACAACTGGAGACTTTCGGGTGCAATTAGGACTGCATGAGACATGAAAAAGGAATACTCCCGTGGCATGCTTCAGTGGGATTTAGGGTGAGCTCCGTGTGCTCCTTAATTTAGGTATACCCACTGGGATCTGCTGTCACCCAGAGTCTCGGCCCTGGTATCCAGCCTGCTCTCTCCCAGAGGAACCCAACACCAGAAGTTGTGTGTGCAACATCTTCCCCACTCTCCTTGCAGGTCACACTCTTAATTGACCAGGGAGGATGGATGTGCGCTCCTGTGTGCCCGCTTGCTTGGCCCAGTCAAGGAAGCGGGACTTGGCTCCCACAGCTGCTGCCCGCTTGGCTGCAGAGCTGAGGTGGCAGAGGCAGACGTGGGCCTTACACGCCCTCCATGAACCTGTTCCCTGGTGAAGCCTCTTTGGCTCTGCCTGGATTCAGCCCATTGGCTTTTTGGAACCCTATCTTGCTGAACGAGGGGTCATCACACCCGTTGCTTTTTCAGTAGACATGGAGAACTGTGTGGGGAGAGGGCTGTGCTTTGCTCAGCGTTGTCTGTTTATTGGCTAAATCTTCAAATCTTTGTCCTTTTATGGTTGCAAGTTTTGGGGTTTGGGGGGTTTTTTTATCAGACATTTTTCTGAATCGATAGACACTCCGCCTGTCCCCACCCCCCAGAAAGGAGGCGGGTCTTTTGAAGAGCAAATGTTGATTTTGATGAGTCCGATGGATCCATCTCTTCCTCTTGTGGGTCAGTTGTTTTTCCCTTTTGGCGTCCTATCTCTCTGCCTAAACCCAGGACTCTTCTTTTCTCCCAAACGGTTTACAGCTTCTGCTTATCCACTGAGGCCTCTGATCATCTTGAGTTAACGTGTATGGATGGTGCAAGGATGAGTAGAACTTCTTTCTTGCCAGTGCTTCAAAAGTATTTTCCAGCGAGAACAACTGGGTTTGGTTTTGTTTTTTAAATAATAACTTCTTCTTGTGAGTCAGTGGCAAGTTTTCGGGGAGACCAACGGTTTCTCATTCAACTCTTCAGACCTCTAGATGTGCTGCCTGGTGTCTGTCTTTTCCTGCCCATCTCTCTCCTGCTGGGCATTGTCTTCCCTTCCCCAGATCCCCCCATCCAGCCCCCAGCCCGGGGCTTCCACTTCTTCAACCAGCTGTCCTGTCTTGTTCTGGACGCCCTTCTGCTGTCCATGTGCACATTCTTCGGCTGGCACCACGCTCTGGTGATCACTGTAGGTGTGTAGGAACCCTTACAGGTAGAGTGAGTCCGCCACCTTGGTTCCTGTGCAAGTTTTAACTACTCCAGGGGCCCTTCCTGCTCCATCCGTAGAAACGTCAGAATCGGGCATTTTCTACAAAAAGTCCCTGTGCGGTTTGATTGTGATTTCATTGGACACACTTTGAGTCCCTGTCCCTATTTCCCTGCTCTCCTTTGCCTCTGCTCCCCACTCTGCCAGGTTCTGGGGTGTGGCTGCACTCATGGAGAGAAGCCAACCCCTGATCCCCATTTCCGGCCTGCTGCTCCGGTCCACCAGTATGCAGACTTCAGGCAGGGCAAAGCGCTGCCTGCCCTCAGGAGTCCCGTCCAGGGCCCGCTGGGAGCAGGTAGCTCCCATGAACCACGTGAAGCTGCCGGGGACCTTTGCTCCTGACTCATCACCACTGGCTTTGGTTTCTGACATGTCCTGCTTCCTCAGTTCTTGGATGTGCTTGGTTTGCCTCAGACCTGCCGGTGTGTTTTCCATGACATGTGCAGGAGGGGACTCGGGTAGAAGCCGACTGCATGGGGCACCACGCAGCTAGTGTTCTGTGGGTGGCCTGCAGAGCCTGGTCAGAGCATCCTGGCGGCTGCCAGTCCCGGCCCTCAGTGGATCGGGGTGATGTCAGACCAGGCAGGATGCTGCTTGCACAGAGGCGCAAAGGAGTGCGGCCGTGTGTCTCACGGAGCGAGGAGTCATGGCGATGGAGGGTGTTTCCTGGTTCGTTAGGCTCTTTGCTGATGTGCCTCTGCTTCTAAGTGAGGGTCCTCAGAAACGTGCCAAGACCTCTGTGAGTCCCCCTGCCTTTGAGAGGTTGAGCTACGTTAAGCCACGCGTCAGTTTCATGCATTCGGTCCCTGAGTCTGCCTTGCCACCATTCTCCTATGTGGGCAGACTAGCTGTCCGTTGGGCGCGGATTACCGAGTGTCCCCGTGGATTGCTTCCTCTCCCGCACATCCCCCGGAGCTCCTGCCCAGCCATGCATAACGCCCGGTATGTCTGTGTGTGTCTTCTCTTCTGCTCCCGCTCATGCGAACGCAGACTACAGGCCTCCCGACGATGCCGTGTTTGACATCATCACCGATGAGGAGCTTTGCCAGGTTCAGGAGTCGGGCTCCTCCTTGCCTGAGACGCCCACTGAAGCCGGTGCTCTGGACCCAAGCCTGGGCGAACAGTGAGTAAACGTGTTCTCCCTACTAAGTCATTGGTGACTGCTGCCTCAACACACCGGGAAATCCAGACTGGCCGCAGGCCTGGCTGTCGGTACTGAAGGGAGGGGTCCTCAGACAGGACTTGGGCACCCCCCACCCTGTGCAGGGCCAGTGCTGAGCCCTGCCACACACTTTGCGGGCTGCATCAGTGGTTTCCTGGCCGCCAGGATCCCCGGGGAGCTGGCACCGCCCTGCCCTTGGTGGCTGTGCTCAGAGCAACTTGGCACACCTTGCCAACCCTGTTTGTCTCCGGGATCCACCAGATAGGCATGGTAATGGGGTCGGGAGAAAGGAAGCTGGGATTTAGTCTGGTTGTCTTGGGTAGACGTGTTTTCCAAGAATTCACTTTAGTTCCAGCTAAACCTTGCCCCCAAACCCCAGGTTCTAAAAGCAGAGTTATATGTGTGTGGGCACGCATGCGTGACTGAGTGCAGAGAGAGAGAGAGAGAGA